TATATATATGGATATGTATATCCATATATGTATATCTGTATATACAAAATAGAATAGATATACAGCTACTTTTTCTTAGTTCAATGAGAAGAAAGATTTGTACTAACAGTGTTTAGATTTCATGTCTGCCTATTGTACTCTGAATAACTATTACAAAGACAACAATATGCAATGTATTAATTATTGTAACTGTCCCACCTGTTTTGAAACTGTTTCATTGCTATTTCTTTCTTTCGAAAGTTAATAACATAAAAAGGAAAGGGTGAAGAGAACATCAGGCCAGCTATAGCTTAGGTGAGTTACCTTTTTTCCAGTTGTTAGGGTGATCTGAGACAGGCAGCATTTAGGCAATGTGGGAGGTCTTTATTGCCGACTGGGTGCTCACTGAACAACTCCACATTTCCCCCTTCTTCCATTTTCAGGAATTCACAATTCTGCTTTTTTATTTCTGAATCCATCTATTTTAGCTATATCACATATGTGGAATCAAGTGGTAATTGTTCTTCTGTAGCTGATTTATTTCACCTAGCACAGTGTCCTCAAAGTGTACCATCCATCAGACAGCATTTGACTGGATTTCCTTCTTTCTTAGGGCTGAATACCGTCACATCTTTATATCCATTTATCCATCCATGGACATTTATGGTATTTCAATCACTGGGCTCTTGTGGATTATGCTGCAGTGGACATGGCTATGTAAATATCTCTGGATATAATATATCCAGAAATAATATTTCTGACTCATACGGCAGGTTTAGTTTAAATTATTTGAGAGATCGCCGTGCTATTTTTCCACAGTGACTACACTATTTTATGTTCCACCAATAGTGCACAGACATTCTGATTCTTCTATACTCTCACCAGTGCTTGCTATCTTCCGATAGTGGCCATCCTAAGAGGTAAGAGGTGATATGTCATCACAGGCTCAATTTTCTTTCTCTAACGGGATATTGAATGTCTTTCATCTGCTTGCTAGCTGTTTGCATGCATTTTTTTGAGAAACAATTAAGTCCTTTGCTCACTTTTAATTGGAACTGGGAGCATACTTGTCACAGGACATAAAATTTCAGTTATATAGGAGGAGTAAGGATAATAGATTTATTGAACATCTTGTTGACTACTGTTAATAAAAAGTATTCTGATTAAAATTGCTCAGAAGAAGAAAGATTTGTACTAATAGTGTTTGGACAGGATATCATGTCTGCATCTTGTACTATGAATAATTACTATGAAGACAACAATATGCAGTGTATTATTGTAACTGTCCTACTAACCTGTTTTGAAACTGTCTCATTGCTATTTGTTTCTCAATCAAATTAATAAAAAAATTGCTCAGAATAATTTTGAGTGTTCTTTCTACAAAATATAAATATGTGAGGTGAAAGAAGACGAAACCCAATTCTAACCTCTTAGGGTCCCAATTGTGTGCAAAATTTAAGCAAACAGAAAATAGCTTAGCAGGTGAAAATCATAGAAATTTAATTAACACAAGTTTTATGAGCCCTAAAAAAGGAAATGAAGTCCCCAAAACACAGTCAGGGGCTGGGGAGATGGCTCAGTAGAATAAGCGCTTGCCTAGCAAGTACAAGGGCCTGAGTTCAATCCTGGGTTCTGCCAAAAAAACAAAACCAAAACCAAAAAAAAAACAGAGTCAATCGCTTATGTAGTGATTGGAAAAAGAACAGTAAGAAATGAAGAAGTAACTACATTTTGTGAGGAAGGGAAGTTATTTTAACAAGGCTTTCAAGATTCCCTTGGCCAGGACTTTATGTCCTTGAGGGTAAGATGTATCTTTCGTGTGGGAATTTCATCCTCTCTTTTTAAGCAACTTTGAGCACAGAGTGATCTCCCATTTCCTATCTCTCAAGTTCCTTTTTTGTTTGTTTGGTTTTGATTTTTTGAGACAGGGCCCAGGCTGCCCTTGAACTTGCAGTGATCCTCCTCTCTCAGTCTATTCAGTGCTGGGATTACAGGAGTGAGCCACCTCGCCTGGCTGCCACAAAAACATATAAATCCTTTCTAAAGGGATACAATGTTAAATAGTTTATGTTTCCATAATCCAAAGGAGGACAACATGTATTATTCACCTGAATATACCCAGAACCCAGTCTAAGGGAACATGGGAGACTCCTGATTCAGATTCATTCAGTACCCCTATCTCAATATTCTTGCTACTTTCATGACCACAGCTTTTTTTGGTACAGATATAGCAAGAATTGGTTTTGATTCTGCATCTAGCCAAGGGGCTCTATTTTTTTAAATCCCCTTTACTTGTACAACAAAATGGAATATTTCCCTCCTAAAAGTCTAAAACCCCCTGTAAGGGCAAAGTCACCCCATCAGCAAAATGCTTGCAAAGGCATTATGGAGCTAAAAAAATGAGCTCGTGTAGGAAATGGATAACAATAGACACTAAAATTTAGTAGAAAGGTCATCAGATGGAGTCTGAAGACATCTAACCAATTGCGCCACTGGAGTGTCTGAAGACATCTTTCTAAAGAGAAGATGTGAACTTCAACTTGGCCCCAAGGGGGTTCTTGACCTATTGTCACAGAAAAGCATTGAGGCACAGGCTGATTTCCTAGGCATTGTTGGAAACTAAGAGAAAATAAGGGAGAGACTTCAGCTTGAGGAGCTAAGGGGGGACAGCTCTGATGAGATTAAATGGTCCAGGTCTGGTGGATCATTATCTCGGTTTTGGTTTTGCAAGAAGAGTCTTATTAAGCTTGAGGGAGCAAAATGGTGTCCAGGAGAGGATTGCTTAGTCTGTTTTGTAAAGGCTGTGCTGGCATCCAATGTTTTGAAGGGATTGAGATAGGTTATATAAATTTAGGACTAAGCAACTTATTTGTTTACAAGTTTTTAGACAGATACTCCCTAAAGGATTAATATATTATATTAGACTTGAGCAAGAATCTGAGCCAGAGGTTTAAGGTAATAATAGGAGCAGGTACAAAAGGAAGGCAAAATTTCGTTTTGCTGTTAGTTATTCTTCTGGTATCTTCTGGCCCAAACAAAGTTACTATTATGTTTTTTGTTTGTTTGTTTGTTTTCCCCGGAACTGGGGATTGAACTCAGGTCCTTACGCTTACCAGGGAAGCATTTATTCCACTGAGCCATCTCCCCGGCCCCACTATTATGTTTTGATTTGGTTTTAGCAAAAGCAGTTTTTAAGTTCCTGACTGCCTCAGAAGAAAAAACAAATTGTGCTTTTAATGAGCGACAGGTTAAAAACTCAGTAATTTACTATCAATTTGTTCCCATGTTGATGTCTGGCTGTCTCAGAAAGAAATAACTGCTTTGCCTAAGAAAAAAAAAATTTTGAAAGTATCCATTTTAGACAGGAAAAGTAACAAAAGGGGGGAGAAGGAGCAGAGATTAACTGTTTCCTATAGTGGAATCCCTCCTGCAATTCTGTAGTCATTAGGACAACTATGAAAGGATTTCTAAATGTTGGACTCAATCACTTGCTTGTGGAAACTGGTGAAGAGGCTAAATACCCTTCCAAAGTTATCTGTCAGAAAAAATAAACCCCACAAATCAAAATAACTGGAGAAAAGGTCACGGACATTGTAGGTGGACTTTGATAACGGTACGTGGAACTTGAAGTTGAGCCAGCTTTAATCAGATTTATAAATGGCAGAAAAGCCATCCAGAGGTGGCTTTGGATTATATTTGAGTTTAATTTCCAGATCAGGAGTATTACTTAGATACTAGGTGTTAGTTACGCTCAACTGTGGAATGGAAGCTGACCAAGCTGCTGGTGTCAATGGTGGCAGCAGGCTGCCATCGCAGTTGAAGCTGACTTCAAGCGCTGGTGTGCTGTGGCCCCTAGAGCTCAAGGCTCATTTTCAACGGTGCAAAAGAAGCTGCTGCTATAAGGCACAAGCTGCCTGGCTCAGAGCCCCAAACGGTGGCTTCGCAGCTGGCCTTCAAGCTTCAGGTCCTGCAGAAGACGCTACGCCGGGGGGCGGGGCGCGGGAGGGGGGGCGCCGCCGGCCCACGTCTTCATCCTCGCGCAGCCCCAGCGGGTGGAGCCGGCGGATACACTGGGTCCGAAACTGCGGGGACATCGTCCGCGCGCTGCATCTCGCGTCCTCTGCTCAGATTCGCTGTCACATCGCGGCCACGCCCCGGCCCACTCCTCAGGCTCGTCCGCAGGCTGCAGCCTCCGGTCGCCCTTCTCCCTTTCGCTCGCTCCTAGAGCAAGTATCACATCTTGACTGTAGAAGCAGCAGATGCGGCAGGTGAAGTGTTGGCGCGGAAAAGATTGCGAAGACCGTAATACGCTCCGCACACACTAAGCGCGCCTATAAGAGACACGTCTCCTAACTCGGTCTGCTGAGCATAGGAAGGCCGCAGTCACAGACCGGAAGCGGCTGGGAGTTTGAGGCGTCCTTTTTCCCTAGCAACGGGTCGTGAAGGAAGTGGTTGCCACCGCCTCACGCCCTGCGCATGCGCAGAGACGTAGGCGCTGACGGCGCGGGGCCTCAGTGGCTGAGTCGGGCGCGCTGAGGGCAGCGGGAGCGTCTCTGGTGGCGGAACCGCGAGCGAGGCCGGCATGGCGGCGCCATTCTCCCCGCGCCGGAAAGCCGGGGCTGCTGACCGGCGCTGGCTGGTACTGCTGTCGCCGCTGCTGCTGGTGCCATTGCTGGCGCGGCCCGCAGGGGCGCTGGTCGAGGGGCTGTACTGCGGCACGCGGGACTGCTACGAGGTGCTGGGCGTGAGCCGCGCGGCCGGCAAGGCGGAGATCGCGCGGGCCTACCGCCAGCTGGCGCGCCGCTACCACCCCGACCGCTACCGGCCCGAGCCCGGCGACCAGGGCCCCGGGGGGACGCCGCAGAGCGCCGAGGAGGCTTTCCTGCTGGTCGCGACCGCCTACGAGACTCTCAAGGTACGAACTGCGGGGAGGAGCCGTGCGGGCAAGGTGGCGTGGTGCTGCGGCCCGGCCGCGCCGCGAGGACCTCGGAGGCCCCGGGGCGGCCGCCGCCTCGACCTTTGGGAGCCTCGCGCGGCCCGCGAGGTCTCGTGAAACCGGCTGGCCCTCTGGCCGGGCCTGGGCAGGCGAACCTTCTGGGGCTTTGGAGCAGGGGGACAGCATGCCCCCTCCTCTTTTCTTGCTAGTCATGTGATTGTAAAACTTTGGATGTCTTATGATTTTCTGACAACATGCTGTTCTCATTTGGAAATCAGAGTGATTGTTATTTATTTTAGGATCTTGGGCAGGATCCGGGAAAGGTCTCGAATATTGAGCAACAGTATGATCACGCCCATTTGACATGACAGAAATCTGGATTCTAGGGATGGTTTATAACAAAGACACTTAGATTAGGTTTTGAGGAACTGTCATGAGACCCCCCATCCATGTTGGCCTCTTGTCTGTAACACCCCCGAGTGACCTTGCCTAGTTGTTTCTTCATAGGGACGACCAAGGCCCTGATAATCACAGCGTCACTATGAGGATTTAGTGATAACTGAAAAAAACTCCCTATACAGGACCCGTAATTAATGACTTGATGAAGGAGATGCTTGCAAGTTTCTAGTGCAAAATATTTTTCAGTCATATCATTCGACGAAGGGTTTATCGTGTCCTCTTGGCCTGAAGATGGAGAGATACAGCATGACACTATTTTCTGTTAGTGCAAAAATCAAACCATCTAAGAATTCACCAAATTCAAGTCCTGCTTGGATGTGTTATTGCTTCAAGGACCCATCACAGTAATGCAACAGTTGTTGTAGTTGTAGGTTATTCCTTTAGTCTTTTCCTGAGATAAAGTTTTGCATGTAATAATACTGTATAGTTTGCTTTTAATGACTACTATGTGTGGATGTACTGTAATGTAAGTATGGATTGTTTCTCCAGATTAGTTTCATGGAGCTGAAAATGCTGCATGTTGTGTCAAGGAGTTAGAGATTTCATGCTTTTAGAGTAGCTTGGTGATTTGGAGTCATAAAATGAGTGGCTGGTTCACTGAATTCCCGACAGCATTAGTTAGATTGTAATTGTTATTAGCAGTTAGCTGAGGATAGGACAGGAGCTGGAAGAGTGCTGCTGCTAGAGAGCGTAGTTGCCCATTACTTTTGGTGGAGGGATGAGGACAGATTTGAAAAAAAATGGGGAAGAACTCTGTCCAGCTAGGGTTGCCCAGGGTGTGAAGCTCTGTCCATCTAGGGTTGCCCAGGGTGTGAAGCCCAGCCTTGTTTTTTTTGCAGATCAGAGATAGAATGTAGGTTGTTGTTTTTCTCTCACAGTAGCCTACTCTGGTCCTGAAGGGTATTTTCCTACTGTTACTTGGCCCAAATGTACTTTGCAGAGCCTGTTGTTTCTTTTCCTACTTGACCCAAACTCTCTCTGCAGAGCCTGTTGCTTTTCATACCTTTAAAAAATGTAAAACTTTGATAGCAGTTTTTAAAAAAAAGGTAGGGTCCAGGTAGTCAGCCTACCGGTGGTGCTCCGAAGCCCTGGTGATGCAGAAGGGAGCTCTGGACAGGCATAACTTCCTTAAGACAGAACAGCAGAATTGCTGGCCCCTGTTGCCTTCTGCTGGGCTCTGCTGATGTGGGATGTGGATAGGTTTGGGAAGAGAATAGTGAGCATGTTGGTAAGAACTTTGAAAATATGGACCATAGTTACAGGGTAGAAATAGTGACAGTAGAGAAATTCTTCTTGGGAGGCCTACTGGCACTCTGTTCTTGACATTTTCTTGTAGAGAAAGTTTCAGAGGACTGATATGGTGGATATGTGTGGTTGCCTCTAATGGTTTCTGTCTTTGAATTTTAGTACTGATATATCAAAGCTGATAAAAAGCTAGTTTATCCACTAAAGAGGAAGGAACTTTTAGGTAGTTAAAAACTGGAATGTTGGTAGAAAGTAATTCTTCTACTGAACTCTGACAGGATGTTTCTGGTAGCTATAAATACCTCCTCTCAGGGAACTAAAAATGGATGTACTAATAAAGGAGGGAGCATGGAGAATGTCTGTAGCTCTTCAGTCTTCCTAGTATATTACTCCAAGTTGATGGAAATTATCTGTGAGAGAAAAGATGTTTGGAGATAGCCTAGACCTTTGAAAATCAGATCCAGCAGAATTCTGTAAAAATTGTTGTGCAATTAAGGCAATGTAATAGTAATCAGCATATTTGACTCCAGGGGATTCAGGGAATTCGTGGACTTTGGAAATCAGCAAATAGACTCTCACTGGTTGTGTCAACTTTGGATCTCATGAAGTGGAACACTCTAGTCCTGCCTACATTTTCATATGTGGCTATAGCACTTATCACACTGCCCAATAAATATTGAGTAGTCCTTTCTCTTTCTACTAAACCATGCTCCTTATTTTTTGTGTGTATATTCATAGCACCTACCACAGTGTCTGGCACATCAGATAATGAATGTTATTTAATTAAACTCACATTGGTGGCAGATTCAGATAGCATGGAAACTGAATTTCTAACATTTTACATTGTTACATGGAGCAACTTTGCTGTTTTCCCCAAATTAATTATAATTTTAAAGAGCAGCATAGATACATGAATTGTTTGATTATGAATGAAAAATTCTTGCATGACAGAAAAATTGTACATCTTTTAATGCTCTGGTTTTTTTTTGTTTTTAAAGTGAGAACAATCAGTGATCACTTTGAATAGACAAGGATTGAATGAAATATAAGAAATGGCATAGAAATAAACAGATACTGAAATAGAAAGAATGAATGTAGAAACACTATGATTGATAGGAAATGGGAAAGAAGTAGGACTTGACAACATTTTACAAGATCACAGGAGAAGAGAATGGGGAGTATTGGTGGCATGGAGGTTAGCTGGTAAGTTGAAAGGATGTGTAGAGTGAACCTTCTACAGTTTCCTCAGTGTATTTCTTTTTTTTTCTTTCTCGAAGTATATTCTTTCACTTAACTTTTTCTCGAACTAGTTCTGACAAGTGCTAGAGAAGAGACCGTGACAAGGAAAAGCTTGTGGGCTGGTGAGATGGCTCAGTGGTCTAAAGCACCTACTTAGAACAAGCTTAGCAAAGCACAGGGACTGCGGTTCAACCCCCCAGCACCACATGCCAGCCAGCCCCGCCCCCTGGTGGGCTGAGCTGGCCACACACACACAAAAATAAATAAATTTTAAAAAAAGTTTGTACAGATTATATTGCAACATGCAAAAGGAACAATTATTTATCTTGGGAGATTAGAGGAGAATGTATTTTTAGAAGTAGATTTGGAAAAAAAATCACCCAGGTTGGTAGTGAAAGGACATTAAAACTGAATAGAAATACAGAGTCATGAGTATTCAAGGCTTATTCTAGGATTGAGATCTAATTTCAGAGTTGTAGTTATATTTATTTACATAGAATACCTAAGATATTCCACCAAAAGACTAGAACTATAACAAATTAAACAAGGTAGCAGGATACAAATCAGCACACAAAAATCAATAGTGTTCTGTGCCTCAGTAATGAATCTATCAAGAGAGAATTTAGGAAACTAGTACCATTTACAGTGCCATCAAGAAAAATTAGGGGGCCAGGGAGATGGCTCAGGGGGCCAGGGAGCTGGTTTAGTAGAATAAGCTCTTCCCTGGCAAGAGCAAGGGTCTGAGTTCAATCCCCGGTTCCGCCAAAAAAAATTTAAAAAAGAAAAATTAAATACTCATGGTGGTGTATGCTTATAATCCCAGGGCTTAGGGGACTGAAAACTGGAGGATTGCTATGAGTCCAATCTGTGTAGTGAGACCCTGTAAACCCTATACTAAATACATTAACAAATAATAATAAATAAACTTAGGCTAGAGACTGTCTGAACAGAACTCTAGTTGCCTGAGAAATAACATCAGGAATCAACAAATGAGATTATATTAATTAAAAAGCTGCTGCATAGTAAAGGAAGCATATAGCAGAGTTAAGGGACAACCTACAGAATGGGCAAAAAAGTTCTTGCTAGTTATTCGTCTGTCTTAATTACTTCCTCATTGCTGGCACAAAATGTCTCACACCCACAAGTCAAAGGAAGAAGGGTTTATTACAGTTCACAGTTTGTGAAGGTTTCACACTGTACTTGATTGTCTCCCAGGCAGGCAGAGGACAATGACAGAGGAGAAATTGTCCCATGCCAGGGCAGGCTGGAGGCAGCAAAGCAGCAAACCTCCCTCCTTTTTTATTCCATCCAGACTACAAGCCTTTTTGAGTGTTGCCACCCACCCCCACAGTGAGCCTTCCCATTATCCATACCCCAGAACTATGTTAAACCTGTGAGTGGACTAATTTGGTTATCACATACCTTTAATCCATATTCACAGACCTTAAATCCAGCATCCTCAGAAAAGCCCCACCTCTGAGTGCATGAGACTTTGAAGGGACACCTAGATGCAAGCCATAACATCCTTGGACGGAAGATTCATATATAAAGAACTCAAAAATTAGATTTCCAAAAATGAAAGACCCAATGGAAAAAATAGACAACTGAAGAAGTACAAATGGCCAATAAATATGTGAAAAATGTTCTAATACCTCTGGCCATTAGAGAAATGTAAGTTACAACCACTCCAGAAGTAATGGCTGCCATCAAAAAGTCAAATAATAACAAATGCTTCCAGGCTGTGGGGAAAAAAGGAACCCTGCTACATTGTTAGTGGGAATGTAAATTAACCCAACCATTGTGGAAATCAGTATAGAGATTTCTTTAAAAAACTAAAACTAGAGGACCAGGGAGATAGTGCAGTAGAATAAGCACTTGCCTGGCAAGTGCAGAGTCCTGAGTTCAATCTCCACTACTGCAAAAAAAAAAAAAAAAAAAACCCCTAAAACTAGAAATTCTAGTTGACCCAACTATTCTCCTTGTAGGTATCTTCTTGAAAGCGTTAATGACACCATACTACAGTAATACATGCATAT